TTCTCTAGGGGATCCTCCTGACCCAGGGCTCGAATCTATGTCTCCTACATTGGTAGGTGGATTCTTTACCACTGCGCCACCTGGGAAGCCCTTTCTACTACTGGAAAACACAAGAGAGGAAAAACTATGCCACATGCTTTATGTACGTATCCCATGAATCCAAACAGGCCAGTGAGGTAAACATTAACAACTCTATTACAAAAAAACTTAGGAAGTGAAGTAATTTACCCAAGATCTTCTCAATAATATGTGGCAGAGATCTGAACCTGTACCTACCCGATTCTACAACTATATACCAGAGCTGCCTTAATAATACCAAGTCTGCTACTAGAAACCAGGCAGCAAGAAGCCTTAAAATAAATCTACCCTTCTCTGGTCATTCTAAATAGCACAGTTAACAGTATCAAATGGAGGGCAATGAGAAAATGGATGGACAGGAAATTCATTTGGAACACTAACACACAAGCTTTTTCTGGTGCTAAAAATCCCTGTATTCCCTAACATCATAAACAAACAGACTGGATCAATAATAAAAGGCATCTTTAAGGGAGAAGCGTAACAAAAAGGAAAAGGTTTAAGTGTGAACCATAAAAATAGAAAAGATAATGAAAGGAAAAGATCTCAGGCAGAAGGTCAAAAACTACTGATACTTGAAAGTATTACTGATAACCTAGTGCCCTAGGCTGAATGCACATGTGAACCAAAAAATCAATCCTCATAAATGCTACACAATTCAGATATGCAGAAAGGGCCCTATTTTAACACATTCAAAGAAATACCAAATTTTATTTCGCTTTAATCAAACCAAATTATAAAAAATCTAATGCTACAATATGTAAAAGTAGTATGTTCTATACATATATGTGTTTACCTGTCTACATAAAACAAATGTTCAAGGAAAACTTTTGCTTTTTCAGTAAGCTTTTGCAATTACTGAGTCTGTACCTGGAAATAAAAAAGAGATTCACCTCAGGATTCAAAGCCTCTTATATAAACTCAGTAAGCAAACAGATTCTGCTAAATTTTCAAGATTCTACTGTCTGAAAGAAACTATATCCATCATTACCTGAACTCTCACTCTTCCTCTTCAAAACTTAGGACTTAAATAATGTAGATGACTCAGTATTCACTACCCAGACTCCTACTATTCAAACTTAGGGTATGAATGCAGTAGATTCAGACTGCAAGGAATACCTGTGACTCACATATATCACATGATTTATAAAATTAGCACTTTTTTAGTAACATGGAAATAAATACCTTACTAAAATCATATAAACACTGGCTGCAGAAGAGAGCTGAGAAAACATTTTTTAACATTGTATTTCTTAGTAGTTTGCTGAAACAAGTTATTAAGTTACTGCCCCTCAGTTTCAAACCCACATTGCTTCTTCCCCATCTGCCTTAATGATGCTGGAAGTGGGACTCTGCCTGCAAACCACATTTCTGCTTTGCCAGCTGATTTCCTATAAGGGTCTGCCAAGAGGGAACACTGAAGATGGACTGCAAGCCGGGAGAAGAAATAGAGATACTTGTGCTTTCCCATCTCTTCTTTGGGCTTCACAGGAACACTATCCCAGCAAAGGTTTCTTCACCCCTACAATAGAAAGTCTTCCCCATAGCAGTAATAAAGTTTGCAGTTTTTCTAACACTTATGAAACTAATTTAATCATACCCTACTCAAAGACCCCAGCACCAGCCAGCACCCTTTCCCCAGATTTCTGGGTTTCAACCTATGGGATTTCTATTCTGAACTTAACGCAAGCACTAGCATGTAGTACCTTCGCCTTGGAGATCTGAATTGTTTCCACAGGACCCTTCCTCTGAGTCTCTAGGTTTCCCCTTTGGTGCCCAAGCCCTTAGGGCTCATAGCTGTTTCTGGAAGTATCTACCTCCATGACAATTTAAGTAGTTTTATTTTTATCCATCCTGTTATCTAGTTAACAACTTCAAATCTACTCAATGACTCTACTGAAGTCTCTGTTCCTATAACTGGTTCGGTTTCTGCCTCCTGACAGAATCCTGATAAAAAGAAAACAATCTCGTTATACTGTAATAGTATATGATGTTATTATAGTAACTTTTGTGAAAATGCAATTTACCTACACTATCAAGTAAAGAACAAAATGTTAGTTAAGCGCAATCTGACTAAAATTGAGTCAATTTAGCTATCATAATACAAAATTTTTTCCAACCATTCTTTAAGAGAAAATTTGGGGCACCTTTTTTTTTAACACACAGTATCTACTGGAATAAAATTACATGATAAGACATTATCAACAATGACTATCTCTGTTTTTCCAAATTTTCTACAATAATTGATTTATGATTACTTTCTAATCATAAAAATACAGTGAACATAATTTTTAAAAATAATTCTAACATGCTCAAATTCAACAAGGATCAAATATCATCTATAGAAAACAACTGACTTGCTTACCCTAAATATTTAAAGGGCAGAGGAAGAGTTTTAATTCACTTACTAAGTACCTTCTCCTACCAAACAAAATTTTTAGTTGTCACATGATTTCATTCCACCCCCTATCTTTACTTTACAGAAGTAATCCACTCCCACTCTCATCTATGCCTACAACCCTCCCCACCACCTGCTTACCCATTTTCTCATTCCCAGCCATATGGTGGTTCTTCTCCACCAACTCACATGCTTTCCTATCTTGACGTTAGTCACTTTCTAGATATATAGGTAGCATATGAAGGTATATACAAGACATAAAGGTAGTATATACAAAGAGAGTTATGGCAAATAAGCAGTGTTTGTCACTGGGTTTGAGTTACTTTAAGACTTCTTACTCTACTTCTGTTGGGACAGTGTAGTTGGGAGGCCATTTCTGGCTTGGGAAAGACTGTGCAAAAGTAGACAATAATTTATTGTGGTTTTAAGTAATTCAGTTTCTCTTCCAATCACCAAAAAAAATAGTCATTCTTTTCTTCTCCTTATATCAAACCAAAGCTGGCTTTCAGTTAGAAAAATCAATGACAAACAATGGCTGTCTACCCATATATCTGAGAACGTGAATACTCTGCCTCACAGATGGACTGGACCATACAGAATATACAAAAAATGAAAGATTAGGATAGAAGGATCCTAAGTATCTCAACTCAAGTGTCACAGAGCTTCTCAGTTTATTAACTAAATGCTAAATTTATAGCTATATCACATAAAAATTTGATTACAGAGTATTACACACAAGAATTATAACATAGTGAGCAGGTTATAAAATAATTCATGGTTATCTTTTCTCTTTCATCATCCCTTCCAATAATATAATTCTATCAAGCAAAAAAAGTTAGATATCTATTATTACTAATCCAATGTCATATATAAGCTTCACCTAAACAGAACTATTCAAATAGAGGGATATAAAATCTCAGTAAATGACTTTAATACATAGTTAGCATAACCCACAAACAAGTGTCTTTAAGGAAATCTATGATCAGTGGAAGATCAAAGTCTACAAAAATAACCTGATTTGGTCATATCTAAAGTTTTAAATAGTCAAAAAAAGGGTAAAATGATTCTTCCCAACATATTAAGTAGAAATCACTCTTAAGTGAAATTAGTTCTACAACAGCCCTTTTTATTTTTAAGTTCTTTTCAAAACTATACAGGTGTCTGTTGTGAGAGTGTGGGGGCATATAGGCTCCAACAAGGTAGAAAAGCATCACTCCACCTATTTCCATTATAAGCTGGAAGATGTATTCTTAGGGAAAGGCCAAAACAGCATAGTTGTAAAGCTTTCCCACTGAGGAAAAAGGATATCAGCCTTAGTCTGATAAAAATTCAAGGATATGAAAACAAAAAAGGCAACTTTTTCTTTTGTGGCATTCTAAACCACCAAAATTTCTTTCAAGCCTGAAGATTCCATGACTCCACATTAACAACCCTTAACAATTTTGTATCCCTCCTCTCTCTCCTGCCCTCCAAAGCTGGTTAATTCCAACTCTCTTCATCACTTGCTCTGTTCCAGCTATAATGACCTCACTATTCCTCCAACATACAAAGCAAGTCTCCTGCCCCAGCACTTCCTGGGTTCCCTATGCCCGGAATGCTCATCCTCTACTATCCAACGAAAGGTCTGTTCCATCACTCTTTCAAGTCTTCATTCAAATGTCACCTTTTCGGTTAGCTTTCCCTAGCTACCCTATCTAAAATAACACGTATCTTTGAATTTCCTAATCCCTTTCTCTGTTTTTCATTTACCTCTTATCACTATCAGTATCTAACAGTTACTTCTTATTTTATTAATTATCCCTTCACCAAAATATAAACCCAATGATTACAGGATTTTTAATCCATTACGTTCACTACTGTAGCCTCAGCATTCAGACAGCTCCTGACACTACACTAGGCCATCAATATGCTGAACAAGTAAATGGTAGCAACAACACATGGTAGCTAGCTACAACACCACATGTAACTCTGGTAGGTGCTGCCATCAACAATTCACATTCCAGTCTGAAAATTTTTAATTAACGGGTTAAATTTACGTTATATTTTCATTTTTTTATTTTTATTTTTTTTTTACGTTATATTTTCAGACTGTGCTCTGCGAACTACAGTAATCCCTCAAGGGCAACTATGGGGGTAGAACATGGAAGTCTAAGCCCAGCATTTATCTATTTTATTCACAGGATTTCACTCAAGATTTAATTTGAAGAAAGTATTTAGCAACTGCAAAAAAATACAAAACCACTGGGTTGAATACAACTTAGTTCCTACTTTTTTACATTTTACTTATTTATTGTAAATGAGGATAATTTAGGTATCCTGTTTATATCATCCTTTAGAAAGGAATTTCAATTACTCTCTAGTCTTTCTCTGTAAGCAAAAGTATCTCCCTATCTCACAAAACAGCACTACTTCCCAAAACAAACTACAGTGTTTTACCGTGAACCTTACAGTCAAACTGATTCTAATATGACTTGACCAGCATAACCTTTAAAATGTTAAATGTTCTAATAAAAAAAGAATCACTCACCTTAATGAAGTTACAGATGGACAAGCCTGTCCATACAAACCCATCTGGCCACAAAGAGAATCTGGAAAGTAAAAAAGAGTTAGTTATCAGATGCTCCAAAATAAATTAAACTATAAACCAAAATAAATTAAACTAAAAATGCTGCTGAACAATATGATGAGTTATCTTAAGGAAGACTGACATACCAGGAAGCACAGGAAAAATAGGCACACTATAACTGTAACATCCAAAGAAGCTAAAAATTCACAAAATTTAACAAATTAAGCTTAGTTACAGATAAAGAGTCCAAATGGTTTAGTGGAGTCTAAGGATTCCAGAGAGGTGCCTAAAGGCTACCAAAGAGCTGAGCATGCAGGTTCCCATCCTCACAGGTTCCTATCTCCCACTTCATCTACCCTTCAATCAAAGCAGTGATATCTTTGTTGGTTTCACAGAATGGACTTCACTAAGACTTGATCTGAAGAACAGTTCCACTGCTTAATTAAAAAGTTAAGAATAACATTGAACAGAAGAAGCTTTGTTCAAATTCTAGCTATGACACTATGAGACCTTGAAGAGTTACATATCCTTAGAGAACCTCCATTTTTTCCATCTGTAGCTTGGGGATAGTGTGTTAAGTGTTGGTCTTTGTGACCCCATGGACTGCAGCCCATCAGGCTCCTGTGTCCATGAGATTTTCCAGGCAAGGATACAGGAGTGGGTTGCCATTTCCTTCTCCAGCATAGTATCACCTAAAACTTTATCAAGAGATAAACTGCAAGTTTGTTATTAGAATTAAATCATTGAACAAATGTGAAACTATCTATTAGCATTACTATCCAGCACAAGGATCATTCACAGTGTCTACAAGTAATATGAATGAAAGAAGCTGGAATGGGAGGGTATAATACGCATACAATTTTTTGCAACTAAAGAAAACAGGTTCACTCTAAAAGGATCAGCTCCTTTTCCAGTTCTAGCCAACTGCTGCTGAGCACGACTGAAAGCCCGATTCTGTTCAGTTCAGTCGCTCAACTCTTTGCGACCCCATGAACCGCAGCATGCCAGGCTTCCCTGTTCATCACCAACTGCCGGAGTCTATCCAAACCCATGTCCATTGAGTCAGTGATGCCATCCAACCAACTCATCCTCTGTCATCCCCTTCTCCTCCTGCCCTCACAATCTTTCCCAAAATCAGGGTCTTTTCAAATGAGTCAACTCTTCACATCAGGTGGCCAAAATACTGGAGCTTCAGCTTCAACATCAGTCCTTTCAATGAACACCCAGGACTGATCCGCTTTAGGATGGACTGGCTGGATCTCCTTGCAGTCCAAGGGACTCTCAAGAGTCTTCTCCAACACCACAGTTCAAAAGCATCAATTCTTCGGCACTCAGCTTTCTTTATAGTCCAACTCTCACATCCATACATGACTACTGGAAAAACCATAGCCTTGACTAGACGGACCATTGTTGGCAAAGTAATGTCTCTGCTTTTTAATAGGCTGTCTAGGTTGGTCATAACTTTCCTTCCAAAGGAGTAAGTGTCTTTTAATTTCATGGCTGCAATCAGCACCTGCAGTGATATTGGAGCCCAAAAAATATGGTTAAGAACATCTAATTTTTCAAGAGAAGAAAGATACCCAAAATTTTATTTGAAATCTCCTGATTTTTACTTTTTAAACACTATGTGGGCCAAACAAAACACTGGCGGTTATCCTAAGTTTATAACTTTTATTTTAGAGGCTGACTGCACTCCCTGCATCTATCAATAATTGTCCCTGCTTGCACTGAAGAAAGATGTTCTACTTCTGCCAGAACAATGGAATAGATAGCTTGATCAACATGCCTAGTGAAAATAACAAACACTGGATAGTTTTTAACCTTTATATATTAATCAATAACTTGAAAGAAAATAAAGTATGATCAAGACTAAAAATAAAAACTAAGTGAAAGAGGGAAACTAGAGAAGTATGCAGAGTACTGAAACCAGCTTTCACTCATCCTCAGAGCACTGCGCCAAACCCTGAATTTCAGCTTGCAATTCCACAGTGTGTTAGGGCTCAAGGTACAAGAGGCAAAGTCCAGATGTTATCCAAGAGAATCTCAAGGAAAATTTCTTAACCTTGGAGTTGAGTGTTGGTGAGGGACTGGGGGCTACAAGAGCAGTTCAACAGTGTCTTCTCAGATACAACCAGAAGCTAACCCTCACCTAGATTATGGTTTAAAAAGCTTCATACTCAGAATTTTAGAGTGGTCCTAGAATGGTGATATCTACCCCCTAACCTTGACAGATGCAAATGCAAATCCTCTCTGGCAATCTGCCTTTGATCTAGGCTTGGAAGAATTCTCAAGGATAAGGTCCCAAGATAAATAAATTCACAATCAAAAATCACAAAACCAGTAGGAAACAAGCCACTCAAGAGTAAGATACAGCTGAAACATCAGGTGGCAGACTCAAAAACTCAGACTTCAGATATGGGAATTATGAGACTTTTCCCTACTGTTTTTATTTTATGAATGTTTTACCTATTCTTATATTTCAAATGCCTACATGTAGATGAATTTCAAATCCACATCCCTATTAGGGATCAATCTCCTAATCTCTAAACATAACTAACATTCTCTCCAAGAAATCCCCAATTTACTATGTCCAAAGCTGAATTCATCACCTTTCTTTAAAGTATTTTCTACCTTTAGGGTCCTTTATCTAAGAATGGCTTTCAGGTTTCTAGCCTCACACCTTTCTTCTCCTTGTTAAGAGCTGAACACTTCAACTCTTGATTTCTATGAGGAATGACTTCTAAACACCTCTGGGTTCTCAGGCCATTCCTCCCCAAGTGGGCAGAGCTAACTCCAGGACCCTTACCCAGGACTCTGCGAGGCAGTTATGAGTGTAACTGCCCTACTGACTCTGACAGTTAATCTAGACATCAGCTGAGCTGTCTAGATGGGTGAGTAGGGACAAGAGAACGTGGAAAGTCAGCCAGCACATTTGGCTCTCAAACCTAAACCCCATTCTACAATATCAGCTTTATCAAAAACAAAGGTAAATTCTCATAAAAGTTACCATATGACCCAGCAATTCTACCCTTAGAGATATGTATTTATACATATATAAATTATATATACACACAAATATATACATACATGAATATATATAAAATGCTCTTGGGAATATATAATATACACTCATATGTTTTAAGTTCTCTTGGTGATTTGGAGGAGACTGATTTCACTGTGAATCTTAGCCCTCTTCTGTGAGCATTCCATGTTTTTGGACATTTGCCTGGGTAGGGAGAACTTAAAACATACGTTCACACAAAAACCTGCACACAAATGTTCACAGCAGTATTAAAAAGTGTAAAGAAACCAAATGCCCATCAACTGATGAACACATACACAAACGTGGCATATCAGCACAGTGTCCATATACAATGGAATATTATCCAGCCATAAAAAGGAATGATATACTGTTACATGATACAACACGAATGAACCTTGAGCATCTTAGCATAAGAAAAAAGTCAGATACAAAAGACCACATATCGCATGACTCCATTCATATGAAATGTCCAGAACAGGGAAATCTTAGAGACAGAAAGTAGATCAGCCAATAGATAGGAGGATGGGAGGAAGGATGTGGATAGAGAGTGATTGCTAACTGGTTTCTTTCAGGATTGATAAAAATGCTCTGCAATTAGATAGAGGTGAGGGTTGCACAACCTTGTGAATAAAATCCTCTAGTATAAGATCACCAAATTTTACACTTTTAAATGGTGAACTTTATCTTTCTAATCTACTGCAGCCTTGATGCCTCAGTTCCAGTTTTCTTCACTCTTTTAACTTAAGATTATTGCTCCTACATGGTGTCTTGAACACCAGTCGGGTTAGTTGAAAGAACAAATACACCAATATTCTTCTCCCTACCCAGGCCAATGTCCAGAAACATGGAATGCTCACAGAAGAAGGCTAAGATTCACAGTGAAATCAGTCTCCTGCAAATCACAAACTCACATTTCTGAAGTCAACTATGTTGAACAATTATATTAATTCATTCAACTTCATCCAAAATTTATACAGTTTAAGTTGGTGCCAACAGCACCAACTAGCATTTTCTGCAAATCCTTTGAAAATCAACAAACAAGAAACTTTGTGTAGCATGACATAACCAGAGTATGGGGAGTAAAAATCAGTCACTCACTGATGGACATGCTCCAATAGAAACTAATGTATTACATGCCATCACTAACAGAAGAATACAGTATTTCTTTTAATACAAGCAGTCATCAGGTGTACATTAAACTGAGCTACAAACTATTCACATCTAGGAAGCAGATGTTTAACAAACTAACAGGTGTATAAATTATATTATGTGAGAGGAGGAGGTGAAATGGAAGTATTTTTATTTATAAAGAACTTGTAACATTCATGACCTTGAGCCAAGACCTTGATTACAATCCCAACTGTGATTTTGGGTATATTGTTAAAAGGGAAAATTCATGCCTCAAGTTACTGTAACGGGAGCTTGAATGAAGCCACCACCGTGACATATAAAAGAATTAAGTCTGTTGAAAATAAATTCTAGAGCACTGTAAATCAAGAGAGCATTCCTTTAAAAAAAAAAACACACTTCTGAATTCAGCTCTATCTTTGATAAGACTTGAAAATAAAAATTTACTAGCATTCATGAAGGAACAACCCTGTTGAGTCAGGTTCCTTGACTGAACACTGTGAATTGCTATACCATTACTCACAGGTAATCATTAAAGCAGTCATGGAAATAACCTGTGTCTTAATCATCCTCAACAGGAAAAATCTGCCAGAGGAAGGAGTAAAGGGAAAAGAATCCTGCTGAGTGAGTAGCAATCAGCTGTTCATCGCAGCTCCACTCGTTGAACCTAAAGGCAGTGATGCAGCTATAGCTAAAAATCGAGAACTCAGAGTCACATGCTCTCAGAAAGCAAAATCATGTGAGAATGATCAATTCACCATGGTAATGTTAGAGGGAGAAGAAAGGCCAAAACTTAAATTTGGAGAACTTAGATTTAGAGAAGAGGAACAAGTTTTAAAAACCACCCTTGA